TTACTAGTATACCATAGTACGGAAGTAGCCAACTTTTATAGGCATGTCTTTAGTTGGGACCAGTATTCATTCGTCGTTCTAGAGATTTCATTGACATTTCATTATGTTATTTCAATAATAAAGTTTGAAATGTGCTTATTGTCCTCGGATCTCTTAATAGTTGAAAAATCTCTGGAGACGTTGTCTCTTACAACTTGTCAGTTTTACGCGAATCTTGGCCGGAACTATATCATGGTCTGATCCATGGCATTTACCAGTTTCAGCGCCCCGATGAGAATGATCCTGACCAATGTGTAGTCAATATGATTAAAATATTGGTTATCCGGAGAATTCCATGTTATTAGATGTCTTCTCAGAACAGAATAGATACAGAAAGCATGTATTAGTAACAAACAGCAGATGATTGCAATACGAAGACTTTCCCCAGTGGCGCATTAGGTCTCAATGCCATATTTGCCAATTAGCGAATTCATTGTAACGGCATCATGATCTACGCGCCATTTCCAGTTACCTTCAATTATGACCACGTCATCTCTCGATAGAGATGCTATTAATAATTGAAGCTCTGCATGGAACTTATCGTAATCATCTGCGTATGAAATTGGAGCATATGTATTGATGACCGAAATATTGCAGAATTTTCCTTTGAAACTCGTGTAGGCCATACTGTCTGGATCCCACTTAATCAGAGCGGATCGAACCTTTTTAGACATGATAATCATTTTTCCCCGAATTTTCCGAGATACCAAGTTTTCTCCGAGCTTACCACAGTGATATAGCCAATATCTTTGCCCGGAACCAGGTTTAATAATCACTCGAGAGCCGACATGAAGATGGACTTCTGACAATCCACGCAATATTTAGAAAATGTATGGACAATGATTGCTTGACTTGCAATATTAGCAACCTTATCTATTAGCGTTCCAAGTAACCGCCTCGCCGCACCTATAAAGTATTAACTGGTCGGTTCTCGTTCTCCCTTGATGGGTTCTGAATGGTTATTCCGTATTGTAAGCATATCCTATCCGTAAGTCTTGGAATTGCTTTATTGCTATTATTACGTCTGGATTGTATGTTTCGTATATACCACCGGATTAGAAGTATCATGCGTCGGAATATGAGGACGCCGCGTCTCAATTAGACTTGACCCTTTCACTATAGCGTCACGTAAGGATAGAGATACGGATGGGTCCCCAGCAGCCTCTCGGATTTTTGATGCCATGACAGGTACTGGTTTATCTTCTGTCAAAAACAAAATAAAGATAATCAAATTTAAAAAAAAATAGAATTTTATTTTAAGATAATTAAAAAAATAAAATTTTAAGAAAAAAAATCTTATCTGATTCGCAGAAAAAGGTAATACTATTAAGGAACAATACTACGTATCATAGATAATAATATTAAATAATAAATAAATAAATTATAAATTAATAAGGTGAATTGATAAACATTTTTAAATGAATTTATTGATTGATGAGCAGAGCTCATTTTTGGCACGATTCATAGAACAAAAATTCAATTTTTGATACAATATTATATATTAATATATATTAATCGCATCTGGCTTGGGTGGCTGCATTGCCTATTTGGATGAACCAAAGAATCAGGTAGGGATAGATTTACCATCTTTATTATCACTTCCAACTCGCTTTTATAGACAGGACTGAATGCTAATGATCTTATATAATTAACTAATTAACTAAAATTTTCATCCTTCTTTTCGTGCCAAAATAATATTTGAAAATAAATTGCAATAATAAAAAATTTCAATTAATTAGCGATCTGAAACGAATTTCTTTAGGCTGAAGAAAAGGCGAATTTGAAAGAAAAGTATAGGCAAAAAAAGGCGATTGTGCGACTTTTCCAAAAAAATTCTGAAATTAATTAGTTGCCGATCAATTCAAAAAAGTTTCAAGATAACTTATCGATAATGAACGCTTTTAAATTTAATTGTTTCAAACCATTTATTTTTTTGACTCAATAATTTAAAATTAATGAATAAAAAATCACACTGGTCACCGCTCACCAGTTTTTGGAAAAGTTAGCGCCATTGGTTGTTAATGCGGTTGGAAATTTTTGTCGGAAAGTCAGTCACTAGATGCTAGAAATAAAGGCGCCAGCATCTCCCTCATTTTACAATAATTGGCTATTGTTGTTTGGAGGGGCTCCGAGTTTTTTCTTGATCTAAGCAATGCCCTGTTCTTCCTAAAAATTAATAATTAAAGTTAATAATTAATTTAAATAGAACTTTTAGAAAATATTTAAATTGCAACATTTAAATTTTCAGTGCACTCCATTTGCTTCCTTTATTCATACTGATTAAACCATAATGAACTCAATTCATACTCACTCTATTATCTACTAAAAAGAATGGCGATAAGAAACTGTGGTCGTACTTTGCATAGAAAGTTATTTAGAAGTACCTCTTTTTAGAATTTTTTTAACCTTTTTTACATCTTCGACATTTCAAATTTCATTGTATGTGAGAAAACTGTGGCAGCGATTTAGAAAAAATAAAATTGCGAACCATATGGATAGCTTCCAGAAGTACCAATCTTTGGCCTTAGGATCTATTTGTTTAAAAAGTTTTTATTCACTTTTTAATACATTTATTTTTACTTTTGCTTACTTTTTAATACATTTCAACGTTTATTTACCTAATCGCTTCATTTATCATAAGTAATAAAATACTCAAGAATATTTCTTGGAAAAAATTTTCGATTTTTACCTATTAAATGTTTTTGGCAAAGAAACCTTTATCGTTAGCTATCAAAATTGCTATTAGTCGAAATTTCTCGTTATTTTGTTACAAATGTTCATAAAAACTTAGAATTTTTAATACAAAACGATTTCTGGCCAACAAAAATAGTTTTAACTTGTAGATACTTATAGGCTTTATGAACGTCTTATTTATTAAAATGCCTTTTTTGTCAAAAAGAAAGATCAGATTAATTACGCTAAGATATATCACATTTATCGATAGTATCACTAGTTTTATTAAGTAGGATTGGGAAGCTTAGAAACATTATATAAGTAGCACAAGCAGCCAGAAATAATGTTAGAAAAATAAGAAAATTAAAGCGGAACCTTTTGGAATTCTGGTGAAAATTTATATTCATTTTCTTAAATTTAAGGCTTAGAATGGTTTGCAATAAAATTCTTTGTCATCTTCATTTCATTACACTTTTTTTTCCTTCTTTATTTTGCAAAAAACTATGAATTGAATCAATGAAACTTAAACGTTGTTCAGGATCAATTATAATTAATTTTTATTTTAATTTTTACTTGGTTCATTTTATTAATTTTCGTCGCTCGATAATTTAAAAAATCAGTTTATTTTGCAAAATTTTTTGTCATTTCCAAAGAAGAATTTTTATTACCAGTGTATTCGCATAAATATTAAATATAGCTATACCACTGAAATTCGTAATCATTAACTCGTTGTGCCTTTTCCATGATCTCTAAGGATATTTCGCTTGCACCGAATCAATGTCTCTTTGTTATTTCATTTATTTCATTGCGCCACCTTTTTCGTTATTCATTGTTATAAAATGTCTGAGAGCACTTAGTAAAAGTGTTCGTTTTTAATTGTCGTTTCTCATTTTAATATACTTGATAGAAAAATAGTTTTCAAATCCATGAAATCCTTTATAAAATTTAGAGGCCATTATACACCATTTTTGACTACGCTCGTTTTATCTGCTGCCAGGAATTTTTGCAGAGAGTCATTTGATTACAGAGGTATAAATCGATCGCAAACAACCAGTATTTTTTTGATTGAAGGGTCTTGTGAGAAAGCAGAAGCTGAATATTTACCTGTCAACACTATAATCTGAATAATCACGAGATACGATAATCATTAACCACTCCTCTCTCTTGCTATTTCTCTTGCTCTCTTCTTTGTAGAATTTTCTTGATAAGTTTCCGATCTGCAATGGTCTTTTTTAAATATCTAATATTAAAATTAATCAAGTCAGTTAAAATCAATGGTAAATTAATGGTAATCTTTCCATGAAATGTTGATAAATATTGTAATTTCAGAGATTTTTTATCGTTATTTTAAATTGCCTATGATTTCAAATAATTAGAAAAAGTGCGAAATTTCGGTGTACTACGCAGACATATTAAACATGTTTCGAAATAAGAATAATTCTCAACGGAATAGAGCTGAAAATTTTAATTTACTAAAGGCATTTTAAGCATTCTTAATTTTATTATTCTTTTAATCCTATTTAATATTTTGTTTTAGTACCTTGAAAATAATTTTATTTTTTATTATTTGCCTTTAATTTTTTGTTTTTTGCTTAAAATTTCGAAGTTTTATTGAAATGGGTAATTTATTGGTATGACAGAGAAAAGACAAATTTTTATCTGAATCAGATAGAACTTTAGCGAGAGTCGATAAAATAATAATTAAATTTTACGAAATAATTTTTCTGAATGGATTGCTCCGGATAAGACAAAACTACCAAGTTAAGGTCGATTTATTGCTAAAAAAACCAGCAGATTCTTAGATTTCCTATTTATTCCATAATATTATTATTTCTTTTAGCTACATATTTTTCGTATTTTTTCGAGACCAATGTGTGATTAGTATTAAATGTATTTTCGATAATATGAAATGTTTACGAAGAAATGTGTTTGCTCGCATTTAAACACAAATGTGTCGAACCGGTTGTGCAATAAATAATATTGTCATGGCGATGTTGAACGAACTTTTGGATGATCTATTTTTATGATCAAATCGCAGACTTTGCCAACTTTTCTATATGATTATGAACTGTTAAGTTTTCAAGCGATATAATGATGAATTACTACTGATATGAAAATTTTTTTTCGAGAAGGCTGAGCACTTGCGATAATAGCTAAACTCGTCACGGGAGACTTTTCTAATGATTCTGCTTTCAACTATTTCTGGAATTTGGCACTTTTTTTGCTGGATATTTTCTTTAATCGTCCGATTATGGCTATTGGCTTCGAAGCTCCATTTTCGCCAGAGAATGGATAATTCTCGAACTAATCCGCAGAGTCAAAATGCACCATTCTTATGTCATTCTCCTGAAGTGGCTGCTGAAGGTGATATCGAATCACTTATTGGTAAGTTACAATATTTTTTAGGTAAGTAGTGGCATATATGATCTTATATAATATGATTTTATCTCATTTAATATTATGATAATATTTTTGAAGTTGCCCGATAATTCACAATTCATATTTATCGATGACAAGTGAAAATCTCGAAAATACTGATAAGACTATCGTTTCTATAGAATTGCCTGCTTCAGTTTGAATTGCCTATTAATTTGATTCCCGATAATACGACGATAAATTTGAAGCAATCTTATAAGAGCAATCTCCAGTTTTAATTAGCTCTAAGAAATGAAGAAATACTGGAAAAAATTTTTTTGCATAAAAATTTCGTCACTTGGATAAATGTAATCTTATTTCGTTTATTTATTGAAGATTTGAAGGTAAAAATGAATATTTTTTAGATTAACAGGTAATAAGACAAGAAAACCAGCTTTTCCAATTTCCTATTCATTTCTGTTCTTAATTTCCTCTGTTTTTGCCAAAATCACTGATGATTTCTAATTTTAAGATATAAAAATTTAGATAATTTGGTAAATTATTTCAGTAATTTCATAGATTAATCTGATGAAATCTGATGAAATCAGGAAAAATGTTTTTAAGGTCAAGTAATGACAGGTTCCGTTTCTGTCTCTTGAAATGAACAGAATGCGTTCTTTAAATCGCAGTGAGAAGGATGCTGTGGACTTTATTCCTCGAGTGGTTCTTTGACGAAAGCGTCTCAGCCAAATTATAATATGCTTTATTTTCTAGAAGAAAATATACTCTATAAATTCTACCTTAAAATATGCATCCCTATATTGTATCTCTAGAATAGAATAGAAGATTATCAATAATTTTGGTAAACGTATTGATTAAATTTAAATTGAGCGTATTTCAATCAGGATACAATCGAGATGTATTCCATTCGTATTCCATTGTCTCCTTCCATATAGAATATCCAGAAATGATGGTTACGACCAGCTTTTTTTGAAGAACGCTTAATATTTTTGGCCAGGCTTAGGCTTATTCCGCTAGCTTGTCTAGCAAAAAAAAATTTTATTGAAGTCAATCATTTGGCCATAGAAGGTTCGTCGTCATCATCCCGATTTCTGAATGATGGGTTTGCTTCTCCTCGGCTCTAGCATCAGCGCTCAAAATGAAAGAAATAATCGAGTGGGCCACTTTGGCAATTTATCTAAGTATATTTTGAGAAATGTTTTTTTTCTAACATATTGTCAAATATTTTTGAAATTACAATCATTTTAAGTGCTTATGTTTAATCCATCCGAGTTACTGGAAAATTTGCTGCCGACTTCGCTTCGATATATTATTTCCTTGGCTCCTATTCTTAAATTGGATCAATTTCTGCATTTTTTTAAGAACTTTCTTTAAATTTAAAGAATATTAAATAGGCCATGAAGAATCAAGAAAAAACATTGCTTTTACATTTAATCCTCAAAAATCAAGTTATTTTTGTTTGAGTAAGAATAAGAGATTTTTAAAACCGTAAATTAATAATCACATCGTAATTTTTCATAATTTTTAGTTAATTAGTGAATAAAATTTACCATACTCAAGTCTATTCCACTGGTTATGATGATTCGCCAGAGGATCAATTATACGGACATACAGATGAATTTCTAGCACCACATAAATTTTTTGGTGAGAGGCTTACTTCAACCAGAGATAGAAACAGAAATAATGCTGGAAATGACAATCTCATGGAAATTTTTAGATTACACTATATCAACTGGGTTATCGTAATGAATTTTAACTGTTTAATCTGAATGTTTTTTTTTAAAGTCTGATTTCTTGCAAATGTGTTAGCCATATATTTTAATTATTGTCGTCTATTCCGCATATTGATCTATATTTAAATTTCATCATTTCTGAACTTTTAATTTTATCAATTTTATCTTCGATATCTTATCATTTTATCGTCTAGCTTTTTTATTTTCTTGTTCGTTTTTTTGATTCCACTGGTTTTTTAATTTTTTTCAAGTTTTTTAATGTTAATCACTTTATCTTTTTTGCCGAAACTGCTTTATTTTCCGTCTAAAGAGGTTTTAGCCTGGCACCTTTGTTTTTTTTCAAACTCTTAAATACCGTAATTTTTAAACAATTGGAATTAGTTTTTCCGTTTATTTTTGGCAGTTTGTGGTTTTTTGGTATTTTATTCTTTTCACTCATTTAATTTTCATTCATTCATTGATGGACTAAAAAAATATTTTTAATGACCATAATAAAACGACAAATTTATAAATCCTATCTTTATCAATTTTCAGGTTTTCATTTATTTATTTTTTAACAGTACTCACCATTACTGATTAGACTGATTAGGCTCGCTTCACTGGCTTTTTGGAGTAGGCAAAAGGAATCCCTTGGCAATAAAAAAAAAGGCAAATCACGCTAGTTGCGCTGGCTATAATGTTACAATTTTCAAAACTATTCGGTCCGACACCACCTCTTACAAAACAAGAGACATTCCTTTTTCCATCGTCTAATTCTATATATTGCTGTTCTCTTTAATATAGTTCTTCTGGCTTTTGACACCATTTACCACAGAGTTTAGCAAGTAAATAAAATGCCAACTCCTGTGGTAGAAGATGACATGCCATAGCTGAAGCGACGCTATATGATGCTGTTAATACAGGTTCTGCCTGAGCAAATATGGATGTCACATGAGATTTTATCGCTCAGCGAACCCGTAAAATGCATAACTGGGCAAAGGCATAGTTTCCTAATATCCTTTATCTCATTAGCTATATCTCTAACCATATAGGATATTTATTCCTGCCATAGAATCTCAATCTCAGTAAGGTTTATTCAGTGGCTCAAGTGGTTAACATTCGTCATAGGGCTGGTTATAAGCTGGTTATAAGTTCCTTTGGTTATAAGTTTAAAAATTTTTGCCAGGGGACTAGGATTTTTAAATAATAAGTTTACTCCTATTAAAAGCAGGACCTTCATATCATTTATTAATTTAGCATGCGGAACTGACTTATTTTATCATTTTCTTCCTTTCAAATTAATCGCTGTATCTGGTTTTGTCTGCTTTAAATTAAATCTTCTACTAAAGAGTGATGACTGAATGATAATTGAAGACATGGATATCATGAAGCGGAGATTGCACGATTAAATAATTTCCTTAAATGCAGTTAATTAAATATTTTTGTAATTAAATATATTTCTAAAAATCTTTTGCCTAACCAATCGTTTTTAATGCAAAATTTAGGTTCGTCCTTATCCTCTCATTCTTTTAATAGAAATAAGGAATTTCGCTAAATCCAGGGAAGTTGCAAATTATTAGTTCTTCAATAAAGTAAACTTCTGGAGCTGTGACTATAGCAAAATTTTATAGCCGAATTAAATGCAATGCGATTCCATTCAAGTTTTTTTTAAGTAACAATACCTTTCAAAATAAAGTTAAAGCAAATCGGACTGGTTGCCAAGAATTATTTTGTTCGACAAATCACATCAAATGGAAATAAAGTCGTTCGTAATTGCATTAATTTTATTACTGCATTTTTGTTCATCACCACTACTTTCTAATACTTAATTCTATTTAACTAAAATTGTTTGCTTAGCAATCGACGAAAAAATTAAATCCATCGAGATTTCCGATACTAATAAAATTTCTTATTTGTTCACTCCTATTCTTTGCAAAAGAATGCCTTTGATTTTACCCACGTCGATCAACTTGGTGCACCGATTCTTTTAATTTTTTTTCGATTTAATCCTGAAAATTTCAAATTCATTTACAGCTATAAAGATAATTCATTTTTTCCGTAAATTTGCTGAAATTTTTGTTTGAGCTCAAATTTCCTCTTTGCCCGAAAATTTTGGATGCAAAGTTTCCCGTCAAGTAATTTTCGTAAATTTCGGGCTCAAAATTTTAACAATTTATTATATATATATATATATATAACTTTACAGCTGTAAATCAATTTGACATTTGGAATTTAAATTTAAAATTTAGCAAAAACTTGATCTGTATAATAGAGCATAAGTGATAAGGGATATTATATTTGATAATTAACCCTAAGTGATTAGCTCTCATTATTTCTAGGCTAATTTATATGCTTTGGAGAATTTACTAGGGAGTCACTTAACAATGGAAGTACAAATGAGTTACCAGCATTACTTTTTAATGATAGATTTATTTCTGTAAGGGACTGGACTCTTGTCTTTCCACATGAAAGCGTGGGCCACTATCCACTCGACTATCCTGGCATTAAACTTTACAAGTAATTTACTGTGATCATTATCACTTTCGTTTTTTTTAATTGGGAAAAAGATAAGGCTTTGACTTTCCTTTTTCATAAAAAACAGATCCTGAAAAATTTCTTGTCCTATTGATCCATTATAATAATAATCAAAGTTGATTTTCTTAATCATATTTTTCTTATTTTTTCTAGATGTTTTATTTTCAATTCTTATATAAGTGGGTTCAAAATGATAATTAATTCGTCGATTCAAAACCCTTTCTCATTTTTCATGGTCATTTCTTTATCGTTGCGAATTATCAGTGGAACTGATTGACTTATATGACAACTTGACCAATTTTGATTAGTCTCAGGGTCGTTTTGTGGTGTAAGATAAGGCATGCGATGGCCTTCTTTGACAAAGTTGCCACTAGTCATTCGTGTATCACACTGGATATGATTCTATCGCATAAATTTTTTTTAATATAAATTCGTTAAATCTCAAAAATTTTCAAACTAATTCTTAACAGAGGATTTCTGGGATAATTATAAAGGAAAATTAGCGCCACGAAAAATGAAATTGCCAAAATTGTATATCGTAAGAATTTCTTATCGATCGCTTTAAAATAAGTTTCCAAAAGATCACAAAAAAGCAAAATTAAAGCAAAAACAAGTAAAAATGCTCGGTCGTTTTTTAAATGAATTTCATGGCTGAAAGTAATTCCGTTGATTAACAGTTCGACTAGTGAAAAGATTTATTTATTATGGATAAATAATTCTATTGAATGCAAACGCTAATAAATTTTAACTTAAATTAATTTCCTCATTCTTTAATATTCACCAAAACATAATCTTTAATGAAGAACATAAATATGAGAATATAATCGTTCATTCCGATGAACAAGTAGGATTAAATTGGAACAATACAGAGAAGATTAGCATGGCCCCTGCACAAGGATGACACGCAAATTCGTTCCAGACTTTTTTGGGGATAAATGGCTCAATAGGTTGTCGC